TTATCATACTAGTGTGAAATTAGGGTGATCGAGTGTATAAACTATGGGTTCAACAAATTAATTAAAATCAAGTGCTAATTATAAATAAAGTAAAGTCCCTGAATGACTATAATTACATGTGATTTTCCATATTTAGTCTGTAATTCTAAGATATTGCATAAATAATCTTAAATATTAAAAAATGTTTCACACTTGGTCCGTCAATAAGTATACATGAATTTTTTTTATTATATTTGACCTAGAGGACTATGTATGAAATAATTTTGAATAACTGAGAACTTTTTAAATAATATCTTAGAATTAAAGACTAAATATAAAAATTACCTGTAATTACTAATTAGTGAGCATTTATGGAAGTTAACCTTATAAGTATTGTGCTAAACTGTTCATAAATCTCATCATTTGTCATGCTCAATAATAATAATAATAATAATATTGTAATGATAATAGTATTATTGCTAGAATGTAATACTCCGTAATACTCTAGTGATGGCCATAACGAATAATAGATAACGAACTTTTGAAGTAATTAATTTCCCTCGTATATCCCACACCGGAAACGCACCCGATAGCCATAGCAACAAAACGCGTATAAAACGCAAGGCCAGCCTTAGCATTTAATTATCTTTGCGCTTGGGGCAATGACGCAGCTAGTGAGGTAATATCCGAGGCGCGTCTATTGCTGGTTGAAAACTATTTCCAAACCCCCTCTTTGGCTTTGGCCCGTCCTTCGCCATCGAGAATATTTGGAAGGGTTCCTTTCATTAGGAATCCTACAAAATCAATTTAATTCTCTTTAATTTAGGTGGTCAGCATGACACCAATTTTTTATGGTTAAACTCCAATGTCTTCAAATATTAATACTTATAATGCTCGTAAAATAATTTTAACTTTATTGGCCAGTTGTGAGTTATTTGAGGAAATAATAGTTATGTTATTGATGATAGCGAACAATAATATTATTGTTCTAGCATTTTAAGTGTTAATACTTGTCCTAACCACTAACTGTGTTTGTTACTCTCTCTCTCTCTCTCTCATTCATTTTGACTTGTGTTCAATATTTTTAAACTCTTAAACACTAATTACCAAAAAAGTAATAGAATTGTGGTATAAAATTAATATCAATATATATTTTTTGAAATGTATTTTCAAAATATCTTATCGGCTAGGTTCAGTTTTAAATGTTTAATTTTTATTTTTTTAAATCTCACACCATTTTTTTACATAAAATAATTGAAAATAACTTTGATGAAATATTTTAACGCGCAATGAGTTTCTTTCGAGGCGGAGTATAAAACAAGATGTTACAGTTTTTTTAGTTTCTTTCTTTTTAGTTTGATTTTTAATTTTCCACTTCCAGCTTTTTAAGATAATGCCCTAAATTCTATGTTATAATAGTAGTAATGTATAAGGCTTGTTGATTAACCTTAAAATTGGAACATAAGCTTACGGAAATGTATCCAAACAAAACAAAATACCCAATAATTAATCATATAATTGAATCTAAAATCAAGAATTAATATACTCCTAACAAAAAATCTTGCAAAATTCAACGTAAAATTCTTTCTTTAAACCAAATAAAAATTCGTGAAAAGGAATCGCATCCCTATTCCCCCAAAGAAACTCACATAGGTGACTGAACCAAATTTAAAAAAAAATGGAACTTAATTTACGAGAGATGGTACACGGGGACGGAGAAGGGCACGCGAAAATTCTGGGAGAAGAAGAAAAAGAGAGTAGAACCTTGGACTAAAAAGTTAAAAAAACAAACACCTTATTATTGGGACAACTAAATGTCCGAATAAGGGTATTAATGTTTTTTAGAAGTAAAAACTTTTCAAAGAAAGAAATGAGAAGAAAATTTATGAACAGAAGAAAAAGAAAGTGAGAAAAAGAATATGAACGGAGGGAGTTTTTTTTTAATAATCTATTTATGTGAAAAAAATTATACTCAAGTATACTTATAGTTTGAAAAAAAAATTATGTGAAAAATTTATTTAAGAATTCACCTAGACTGTATGGTAGAAATATTTCTTCTTCTTTTTTTCCAGTTTATAGAGATTAAATATTGGTTGTCTCTTGGGAGTCTTGGCTTGTGCCTTGTGGGGTTATTTAAAGAACTTTATTTCCGTAAACTCGCATTCATCTTTTGCGTTGCATCGCATATAGAAATGTTATGAATCAATGAAAAATGCTATCAAGATGCCCGTCTAGCTCAGTTGGTAGAGCGCAAGGCTCTTAACCTTGTGGTCGTGGGTTCGAGCCCCACGGTGGGCGAAACATGGAAATCAATTTTTTTTTATGTCATTTGATTTTTTTAGTTCTTACAAACATCTCTAGCCATTCCTCTTCATATGATTAATCTTATATGAGCCTCATGTAAAACTACCCCTTTAATTCCAACAGGGAAGGAAGTGTTGGAGAAAACAACGAAGCCCAACTTAACGAAATGGACCGAGGCGGAGGAGGTTTCCCAAGCCTATATCAACACCTCTGAGGACCTTCAGATCGGCACGTTTTAGGTTTTGTTATATTTTAATGTTTTTTTAAATACATAATGTTTTTTAGAGATCATTTTGACTATTTTGAATTTATAACAGGGAAGGAAGTGTTGGAGAAAACAACGAAATGGACCGAGGCGGAGGAGGTTTCCCAAGCCTATATCAACACCTCTGAGGACCTTCAGATCGGCACGTTTTAGGTTTTGTTATATTTTAATGTTTTTTTAAATACATAATGTTTTTTAGAGATCATTTTGACTATTTTGAATTTATAACAGGGAAGGAAGTGTTGGAGAAAACAACGAAGCCCAACTTAACGAAATGGACCGAGGCGGAGGAGGTTTCTCAAGCCTATATCAACACCTCTGAGGACCTTCAGATCGGCACGTTTTAGGTTTTGTTATATTTTAATGTTTTTTTAAATACATAATGTTTTTTAGAGATCATTTTGACTATTTTGAATTTATAAACACAATCTTTTTTTAAAAAACTAGTTTTTTAAATTCTTTTTATTTGTATTTTCTAACACAGTTTATTTCTTTTATTTTTTTTGTAGGTCGTAATAAAACATTCTCGGGATTTTGGGCTCGGGCTCAATTTTTCAGGCAATGGGTCGTGGCCAATATTGGACGAATGACATGATCTCAAGTAAATGGCAAGACCTACAAGCAAATGTGTCTATTTTCTCCAGTATTTATAACGAGCAAAATAGGTGCCGGAGGAGTGTCCAACGACGCGATAGTTATGAGCGAGGCCTTGATGCAATACACTCGTGAGTGGGGAACACTCATGAGTATCAAGGCGTGGAAACTCATGCGTCAATCCACTAAGTGGCATACCATCCCAATTCACGAGGCTTCAAGTCTCAAAACAGTCTAAGATCAATTCATCAATCGATGTTGGTTTGGGACGTGTGGTGTCATCGTAAGTCGTGACGGGCAAAAAAGCACCGTGGGTAATGCCCCATAACACATGGTCTTACTCGCCATTTTTCTTTCCTTCAAGAAAAAGGGATCTATAGACATTCGAAGCCCTTTGATTTTGCAAGAATTGGACGAGAGTCGAGAGATAGAGTTGAGTTATGGTGGTTTTAATTCATTTTCATTCTTGGTTTTAGCTAATAGAAGAAGCTTAAATTTTGACTTCATTAGGGTTCTTGTTGTTGAGTATGGTGGCATAAATGGAGTGTACTATAGTTGCATGTGGGTTGGTAATGGTGAGGTGAGTGACTATATCATTTTCCCAAACAAGTATCTTAGGGCTCGTTTGGGAGCAATGCAGGATGGAATTATGTGGTTTCTAGAATTTGAAAGTAATTGTTGAGTATATGAGTTCTTAAATTTGAAAAGAAAATATTTGGAGAGATTTGAAATGGTCTTATTTAGTGACATGAACCAACTGTTGGGAGCAATATCAAAACGCTCACATTTTGGAGGGTTTTAAAACCGAGAAAAAAATATCATAATACATACCTCGCGCACTCACCAAGCGGGCCTTTAGATCAACTGTTTTGATTGTTGCTAGATATATGAAACATCACCTCTTTTTGTTATTATTATTATTTGTAGTTTTGAATCATTTTCATTCTTGGTTTTCTTACAAATGCTTGTACAATAGCGCCACAACGATCACGTGGGTACGTTGCACTCTTCAAAACTTGAATGAAGGTTTGTTTATATTTCTATCAAGTCAATTGCACATATAGGCTTAGTTTGGATGGTGGGGTTTGCAAGGTGGAAGACTTAGAAGAGCCCAGTCATCCAACTACAAGTATCAAGATACAAACTTTGTCATCCA